ATATATATATATATATATATACACCTGTAATCACAATTGTGATTCAATTTAGCACATCATCACAATTTCCGAGCACGTGGATTGAGGAAAGAAAAATCAATGGAAAAATCGAAAATTTTAGTACGTTATGAGAAAAAAAATGGGCAGATTCCATTTAGTTCGGCTTCGATAATATTCGGTATTTTGCGGCCATAGCGTCATGCGCACGCATATGTTTATCCCCGTTTTCATTAGGACATAAGCGGCCATATTTGTTTCCACCTTTTATACATCAGTTTCATCGGGGCCTGATGGAACAACAATCTGTAGGCATCTGCAGGTTTGCAGCCGGCGAAAGGAGTCGGTCAGCCGGTGTTGTGATTTGTGATTGTATCGGAAATATTTAGAAAAGGAGAAGAATTGTATTGGACACTGTGATACTTTGTCCTAATGAGGACTAAAATTCATAAAAAAAAATATCCTATAAATGATAATGAATTGGCGAGAATAAGAAATTTACAAAATGTTTATTTTTATGAAATTTTTACTATTCGTTCTTGTCAATACATTGACAATGTTATTTCTTTTTTGTATTCATTTAGACTATATACTGGATATATACTTTCAATGGTTCTTCAACGATGTTCGAGATACGCAGCAATATGACTATATTATTGGTAAACACATTTAATTAAGATAAAAGAAAGTGATAAGTAAATCTAATGTTCTGTTTTCTGTGATAATTATTTAGAATAGCTACTTCACCCCCGATTTCAATGAAATTAGGCTCATTCGACGCGTTTTCAGTGAAAACGAAAGCCTGCTCTGCTCTTGCTGTATGCGAAAGTCGTATGGAACCGCGCTTCGCATGGAAAATAGTGAACAGTAAACCCATGAATGATGAAAGGGAGATGGTCTGAATATTAATGAACAAACATTAATATATCGCTGTAGAAGCAAATAAGTAAAACGCATGCACATGTAGCCTTACAGCATGAAAGTGTGACCGCAGTGCATGCTTGCATCGCAGTATTTCGCAGCTGACAGATTTCCTAACCTCAATAGTCATCAACGTTTGATATTTCAATAGTCTTTAACGTTTAATATTTTGATTCGCAAGACCGACCGCTGCGTCTTTCTTGCGAAAAACGCCGGATTCGTTTGTAATGAAAACGCGTCGAATGAGCCTAATTTCATTGAAATCGGAGATGAGGTAGTTATTCTAAATAATTACTGTCACTTACGTTATCCATTTCTTTTGGAAGCAACTTTTTTTTATATTTATCTGCAATTCTAGTTGGTGCCGGTAGTGCTGGTACAATTCTGGCAACGAATCTAGCAGAGGATAAACATAGCGTATTATTGTTAGAAGCAGGTGGTACTGCCCCATTCTTTCTCGATATACCACTCCTAACACCAATCATTCAGAATACTGTTTATGATTGGCAATATGTCACTGTTCCTCAAGAACATGCATGCAAAGGCTTAATTAATAACGTAAATATTAATATTTATATGATAAACACATAAATTTATATGTTTATCAAAAATGTTATACTGATGTATATATTGTCATGTCATAAAGATCCTTTTAACAGCAAAGCAGATGGCCAAGAGGTAAAATTCTTGGAGGTACAAGCCGTCTAAATTTTATGGCTTATGTATTAGGACATCGGCTGGATTATGAAAAATGGTTTCCAGATTTTGCTGGTAAAAAAACTATATAGTAATTTATTTTAAAGTGAATTTAGGAGAAAGAGAGGTACATGTATATATACTTTGATTTTTTTTTACATACATGAACATCATAGAAACAGTTGCAAAAAATGGCGAGTCAATAAGTATCAGTGATTTAAGATGGACTACTGATTTTGCTGATGTAATTTTGAATGCATTAAAGGAATTAAATTATAATATAAGCAACATAAATTTACAATTGGACATAGGTATCTAATTTCTACTTAAAATTTCAATTGCATGTTGTATTTGTATATTTACAATATTTGTTGCCTAGGTTTTACAAAAGCTCAATTAACGATGGAGAATGGCAAACGATGGAGTATGGATAAGATATTGTATCAAAAACCTAATCATGTTTTGACTATACTTACTCATGCACATGCCACTAAAGTAAGTTTATCTAAATCATTTTTAGTGATTATTCATGATAAATACAAGGTATTATTCTATTTAATTATACTGTTGAAGATATTAGTGAACTTGGATAAAGCCGAGGGAATTGAATTCGTTAGATTTGGTAATAAATATACAGCAGTAGCAAAGAAAGGAGTTATTTTAAGTGCTGGCACAATTGAGAGTCCAAAATTATTAATGTTATCTGGAATTGGCCCAAAAAAGCATTTGGAGGAATTTGGTGTAAGTATATATGTGTGTGTATATATATATATAAAATCTTCAATTTTTATTAACTCTAAACTATAAGAAATTACAGGGCATCAATCATGAAACTTTATCCCTAGGATGGAAAGTGAAAAGTGAAAATTTTTACTATTGAAGTTAATGGAGAAATTTTTCACTTTTCATCCTAAGGAGAAAGTTTCATGATTAATACCCAGGTTTGTTCTTTATTCCTACACTATCTGAACTGGTGTATGTACAAGGTGCAATAAATTGAAGCTAAACAAACATATATTTGCTTCACTTCAACTTATTGCGCCCTGTGCATCAGTTGAAGTAGTCCAGAAATAAAGAATAGATTATGTTTCGTGTATGTGAAATTGGCACCTCATTTTTTGGCACCGCAAGTTTTGATGCAAGTTCCATTGGCACCCACAATAGTTCTATAGTTCCTGATAGATTTTAGAAATAGTTCCGTTGATTTAGCTAAAAAAATACTTGAAAATTCGAGGTGCTAACTTTTCGTGACATCTCAAGGATATGAAAAAAATCAATTTAAATGGAATTTTATAGTTCTCAATGAGCTCTACAGTTCCGGCCTCTAAATACCTATATCCCGTATGTTCTGGTAGCGCACAACAAAAGTAAAGTAATTAAATTGGTAAAATTGAAGGACTCTTAGTGTCAAATAATAATGTAAAGAAAATAAATGGCATATAAGAGTCAAATTAAAAATTTAATATATGAAATATAAAATGTTTAATTACATCCGTAAAATATGAGCTATGAATATTACAATATGTGTATATTACATGTTTCGGCATCATGATTGTTCCATTCTCAGATATTTTGAATAGACGCAGAAACAATAGATTATTAAATGTTAGAATTGATGCAGAGAAAATCAAGAAGTATATGTATAAGATTAGGATGAGGCCCGATAACTAACACATAAAGAGAACGAATTGCTTGCAAACGATTAGAAGACTGGTTGTTAGAGAATTTCCAAGTGTTAGAATAGAATTACAAATTAAAATAAAAAGAAAATGCAAGCAATATCGTCATTCTGTTGATGAACTCACTGAAATGGCCATTCAATTATCCTTCGCATAATTTGTATCTGATGCTCGTCAAAATGGTTAAGATAGTCAATGTAATTAAATAATAAATACTAGTAAAAAGTATAGTCATCAGAAATAAAAATATCTAAACTGTCAGTTATGAATTAAAGTTAAAAATGTATAAAGATACGTAAAATGTCACATGAGAATTAAAATTTGTTCTTTAATCAAATAATCATTGTGTTATTCAGATTAATGTAATCAATGATCTGCCGGTTGGTCAAACTTTGATGGATCATATATTAACTGGTGTTGACTTGATTGTGCTTAATGCAAGTCTTGGATTGAATCTTTCGGATATCTTTAATCCTATGTCAGCCTTTAATTACTTCTTTTTTGGCCAAGGTAAAACAATATATTATTACATACAAAGTTATGCATGCAAATGCACTTGTCATATTTGCCTTAAAAGTAGCATTATTTTTTTGTTTTTGTCACGGAGTAAAAAGAAGGAGACCAAACTCAAGTGGTCGATTACGAAAAAGATGGGCTCGATTTTTGGCTTCGGAAAAGCGCTGTACGGAAGAATAGAGTTCCTCTAGTAAAAGTTAAGCCATCGAGTGATAATTTTTTCTTGGTTCCGCCATATTTAGGGGACGAAAGCGATAGTAAAGCGGGGAGCACAGACTCTTGCATAACGCATAACACGTAATGCATAAGAAAATGTACCAATCAAAGCCCTCTGTTTCCTTCCTTTCCATGAAATAAAGAATTCTGATTGATTGAATTTCTTATGCATTACATGTTATGCGTTATGCAAAAGTCTGTGCTCCCCGCTTAAAGACCGCAGCACAGACTCTTGCATAACGCGTAGTGCATAAGCGAATCAACTAATCAGAATCTTTCCTTTCCTCCTATTCCATGGGAAAGAAGAATTTCAATTGGTCGATTCCCTTATGCACTATGCGTTATGCAAGAGTCTGTGCTGCGGCCATAAAGCGGGGAACACAGACTTGCATAACGCATAACACGTAATGCATAAGAAAATGAACCAATCAAAATCCTTCGTTTCCTTCCTTTCCATGAAATAAAGATGATTGGATGAATTTCTTATGCCTAATGTGTTATGCGTTATGCAAGAGTCTGTGCTCCCCGCTTAATAGATTCGAACGCCTGTCGGAGAAAACTGTCAACTTATAGCGTTTTTCACTGGCAGAACTGGTGCGCACTCGGTACACATTAAAGCTGTTGTACATTAACCTAATCTGAATGTAAAAGTAATATATCTAAATTAATAAAATATCCAACGTATATTTTATCAAATACCACAATAAAATTTATTGAAGATTTCACGGTTTAATTCGTTTATATATTTTTATTAAACGTACATCTTTACGTCGATTTGTGTATAACGGCTTTAAAGTGCACTGAGTGCGCACCAGCTCTGCCAGTGAAAAACGCTATTAGAGGATTTGATAAATATTTTTCATCCTATTTTTTTGTAATTTTGTAAATTCATGTGTATTTTCATGCGTAGAATATATTCTGAGAAGGAAAATTGTTGCTCACGTGCAGTTTTATTTTTTTTCAACATATTTCAAAATTTTTTTATGTCGGTAAGTTAAAAAATGATAATTTAATGATAACTTATGATTGCGCATGCATGTACGTATTTTTCAATAAATATTGATGCATTCACTTTTTGATTCACATTTTGATCAAAATAAAATTTTATACGAATTGGAATTTTGTAATAATAACAAAACGTACATATACATGTATTGCGTACGCGTTCGTGTGGTACATACTTCCAACTTTTCCCGCAATAGCACTCAAATCGCAGAGTTTTCATGTTTCCGAAGCCATGTTTCGAAATCGTGTTTCATCCTCGAGTTTGGTCTCTTTCTTTTTACTGCGTGGATTTTATAGTATATATAACTAAACTGTTAAATCTATAATGTCAAATTTTTAACTTAAGGTGAGTCGCTGCTCCTACTCAATTACATCGTTATTTTATACTAAAACAATGGTTGTATTTGACACTGTATGGTAACAAATTGACACAATATAGTGTCAAATTTAATTATCATTTTAGTATAAAATAACGATATATTTATAGATTTAACAGTGTACGTATATAGCAGCGAATGGATAAAACATTGGTACAATTATAAAAAGTTTTAGAAGATATGTATTATATGTTTTATTTCAAACGTAATGGGTAAATCGAACATCTCGGAAAATATGAAAAATACAGAAAAATGTTTTAGTGACAGTTGTTTACTATTGTAGTATTAAAAAGTAAAGCTATATCGATAAATTAATAGTTTACGAGATATTTTGTACTTTATACTGGCAATTTGACATAAAATATATTAAATATCTTGTGAACTATTAATTTTTTAATAATCGTAACTTTTTTAACAAAATAATAAGATGAATCAATTGAAGAAAAGAAAACAAGGTAATATAGAATAGGGGACTCCTCCTCCCCTCCCTGATGACCTTGACATATGTTGTCAAAGTCATGACCTTGAGTAACGTCCGATAGATTTTAGCCATCGCTCGTTATCCGTTAAAAAGTTATCAACAAAATAAGTTTAAGAAATAACATCTTTTTTCCATTATTTAAAACAAAATTCTGCTTTAAGGCTCCTGAGTGTTATCAGATCCGAGCCGCGCAACGCCACGCACACAAAAGCCGAGCGACATACGTGTGCGCTCGGCGTTTCGGCTACCTTCGGGCACAGTAGGAACGACTCCCTCTCGCTGTACGATTCTCGTTCGCCCAAGAGCGTCTCTGTTTCATTTTATCACACGTTGACAATGCTATATACATATACAATAAATAATTATTATATATGTAATATTTATTACAAAAATCTATTATATTTTTTGTATAAAATCTCTATTTCATATAATTATCCACCAATTGATTCATCTTATTATTCTGTTTATAAAAGTATTAAGGTACGGATTATCAGGAAATTAATAGTTTATGAGATATTTAATGTTTTATTTTGTCAAAATGATCAATATAGAGAATAAAATGTCTCGTAAACTATTGATTTTTTAATAGCTTTACCGTAATACTTTTATATGCGAAATAATCAGAGGAATCATATTATGTTAAAAAAAACCACAATTCCGTTTAAAAGAATGGTATCTCCAGATGACCTTATGAATTTTTTTCGAAAATTAATTTAACCAATATTTACGTTCTTCCGTACAACTTTCATCTAAAACATTTTTTCTTATCTTTCATATTTTTTGGATTATTCGACCTAAATTATTCGAAGTAAAACACCTTGTGTTATTATTAATAAGTATCATTATAGTGATTATCAATTTATATTTAATTAGGACCATGGACATCATCTGGAATAGAAGTATTAGGAACTTTTCATAGTTCTTTACATGCAAATAAGTCTACAGTACCAGATTTACAATTAATGGTGTTACCTTTAGGAGTATCAAAAGATAATGGTCTTATATTCAAGAAAACGATGGGGATTTCTGATGAGGTAGAAAGTATAGAAAGTATATTCTTAGTCCTATTGTTTGTGACCGAGCGTGGTGAGTTTTCTCATTTGCCTATGGTGCGCACTCTGGTTGTACATATGGGATCTACAGTTTAATGTCGATTCCGAACGACAAAATTTTGTTAGAGAAGTCTTCTTGGCAAAGATACTTTCTGTGAATTACCGTTTCCTTCCGAGAGGAGACAGAAGCGTATGAAAATATTTTGGTTGTACCGGAAATCGGACCCGTGATCTCTAACGTAGCAGACCAGTGCGCTGTTTGCTTTGCCACGCTCGCTTTCCGAATATAATATAAAAAGTATATAGTTAAATAAAAATAAACACATTATGAATAATAAATTAAAGTTAAAAAGAGTTCACACATCCATCACACATACGCGCGCATTTTTCTGAAGGAGAAAAGCTTATAATGTTTTTCTTTTAGGTCTATAACAAATATTTTGCTCCATTGTCACATCAAAACACAATAACAATTGCACCTGTATTATTACATCCTAAAAGTAATGGAGAATTACGATTGCGAAGCAGCAATTCTTTTGACAAACCGCTGATTGATCCAAAATATTTATCAAATAAGGATGATATTGACACTCTCATAGAAGGTAACTAAGATAGTACATTATAAGACTATATATCAAACATTCGTACAACAATATTTTATATACAGCATGAATATTTTAGGTTTATATTTTGTAAAGAAACTTTTGAACACAACTGTTATGACAGTCCATGGTGCATCTCTTAATAGAAGGTCATTTCCCGGTTGCGAAAACCATGTATTTGACACTAGGAAGTATTGGAAATGTTATATAAAACATTTAACACTCACGTCTTACCATCCAGTTGGTACATGTCGCATTGGCGATGTTGTGGATACAGCATTTAAGTAATTATGAAATTACAATTAAAAACAAAAGATCAATAAGAATACAAGAAGGAATTGTGATAATAGTACACACTTTGATAAACAAAGATTAATAAAGCAAATAAGGATTTTTCTTATAATTTTTACGATATTTTCATTTTCAGAAGTTTTAATTTTTATATCTTTTATGTAGAGTGTTCAGTGTAGTCCACATGATTTTTTTAGACACTGTCCGACAGTTAAAACTAGTGGTTGAAAGGTGAATGTTCATTTGTTTTAGGCTACAACATGCGATAAAGAATTTAAAAAAGCTTTTTAAAAAAGAATCATTTTAATTTTTTAAATAACACTATAATTTTTTCCATAATATTGTAGAGTGCTATTTAAAAAATTCAAAATGATTTTTTTTAAAAAAAGCTTTTTTAAATTTTTTATTGCATATCGTAGTCTGAAACAAATGAATTCGACGCACTATCGAAAATGTCACTTTTACTGATTCTGTACACATAAACACATAATATGTATCATAAATATCTATTAATAATGAAAGCGCGCGCACGCACGCACACACTTGTAACGAGGTGTTATTGTATGGTCTGTGCCATATTGAGTATTAGATACTAGCACCTTCGTATTTAAGTCCGGATCTACAATAGGTGTTTTAAGACTTAAGCCATAAGAAACTGACCAATTATAGTCGAATCCGAGGGGAATAATCGACTGTGATTCGCCCATTTCTTATGGCTTAAAGCTTAAAACCCGATTGTAGATCCAGGGTAAAGAGATCCTAAATCGATTATCGAACTTGATCGAAATCGATAGTGCAGACTTTTTTAATTCCAAATTCGATAATAGTGATATCTTTGATTTATTTCTTACATTATATTTTATATTGTTCTGTCTCACTCAAACGCATACATCTGTCCTTATCTAACATATGCCAGCACCATCTATCGCAAGACCGCGCAACACACGGAATTTCGGCTCTGTTGACATTCCTAGTCTTCATAAAGCATCTGTGTATACATATTTTCTATTCGATGAACATACCTTTATTCTAGACTTTCAATCTTAGTTCTACAAACTTGGTATTGTTCATTCCAGTAATGTGACCTCAGCTGCACGCTTATTTTCAAGATATGGACTATAAAACTCTTATATCAAGCAAATATATACCTGAGGTGACAGCTGTACGAGCCAAAAGTGAAATTTTTAACTTTTTTTCAATTTTCTCATGAAATTCAGTGCAGCTGAGGTCCTGTTTGTACGTACTTTAATTTTGTAATAATAATTTTGCAATCCGTAAATCCAATTCGGAGATTTTTCACCGAATGGAAATGATGGTGAAGTAGGACGACTTTAGCGTCCCCTTAAAGGGATGCTACCATCATTTCCATTCGGTGAAATATCTCCGAATTGAATTGACGGATTGCAAAAAATTATTTTTACAGAATTAAAGTACGCACAAACAGGACCTCAGCTGTATCGGATTTTAGGAGAAAATTGAAGAAAAGTTTAAAAATTCGCTTACTTTTAGCTCGTACAGCTGACACCTCAGGTTTATATTTGCTTCATACAAGAGTTTTATAGTTTATATCTTGAAAATAAGCAAGGTCTGAGATCACATTATTGTAACGAACGATACCAAGTTTATAGAACTAAGATTGAAAGTCTAGAAGGAAAGTAATTCTACCGAATAGAAAATACGTATGTACGGATACTTTGCGAAGACTGGGACTGTCAACAGAGTCGAAATTCCGTGTAGTAATAGTTGCGCGGTCTTGCGATAGATGGTGTTGGCATATGTTAGATAAGGACAGATGTATGCGTTTAAGTGAGATAGAACGATATAAATATAATTTAAGAAATGAATCAAAGATGTCATTATCGAATTTGGAATTAAAAAAGTCTGCACTATCGACCTCGATCAAGTTCGGTAATCGGTTTAGGATTCCCTTAAGGGGATGCTGGAATGACCAAATTATTCCATTACGTCGTATAAAAATCTTCGAATTGACTGAACGGAATAAAAAATCCTTTTATAAGATTAAAGTAGACGCAAAACTAGGAGGTGGTGCAGTGGACCTTGTACTAAAATCGAAAAAAAGTTAAAAAATTTTATAACATTCTTTCGATTTTAGTATAAAATCCACTGCACCATCTCCTAATTTTGCGTCTACTTTAATCCTGTAAAAGGATTTTTTATTCCGTTCAGTAAATTCGGAGATTTTTATCGGTCTGCAATGTGTCGATAATTTGATCACTCCAGCATCCCTTTAAGAGGATCCTAAAGTAAAACCCAAACTCCGACGATCACTGATTTTACTGATAAAATGCGATATATCGATATATCGACGTATCTTTACATACTGCTACATCAATATCTCACATATATATAAATCTTTGTAGAACAATAACGTTTTAATTAAACGTTTAAGTTTAATTCTAGTAAACAACTAGTCTGTGGACCACAATTTTTTAAATACAGATTGCAAAACTTTTATATCATGCAAGTATTGTTATGGTATATTGACAGCTCTGATGCCATAAAGTCTCGATTAACAATTTTTTTCGTTTTCAGCATAAACTCCACCTCAAACACACGTATTAATATGTATACTTTAATTCTAGAAAAAGATTTTCGAATCAGTAAAAGAGAAAAAGTTGTTATACAAAAATTATTGCCTTTAATCAGTAATACAGATGAGGATCTTTACTAATTGATATTGTTAATATGTATATGTGCGCTGTGTGTATATTATATATTTGGCTATTTAAAACTATAGGAATTATTAAAAAATACTAATTTATCTTATAATACAATAACTTATCAGTGATACACATATATGTAAGCAGTTTTGCCCCTTAAGTTCAAAAATACTAATGACTGCGTTTAGCAGAGAAAATCCGTTAGCGCTTAGTGATTTTTTTAATATGATTGGTTTTTGCCTTTAGTTCTTCACTGGATCTAAGTGCAGGAACCAATCATATTAAAGAATTACTAAGCGCTAACTGATTAGTTTTCTCTGCTGAACGAAGTCATGTCTAATTTTCAATATGGCGATGCCCTTACAATGATTGCTTTCAGCAGAGAAAACTGATCAGTGAGTTCTAATGATTCTTTAATATGTTTGATTTTTGCCTTTAATTTTTCGTTAGGTTTAAGAACCAATCATATCAAAAATCATTGAGCGTTCACTGATCAGTTTTTTCTGCTGAAATGCTGCCAATGGTCTCACTTTTGGAGGGAAGACTGTATCTAGTCATATATACCTATGTTTCGTATCCATTATAGAGTTTACAACATGAGAAATTTGTACGTCGTGGATGCATCAGTTCTTCCATCGTTACCAAGCGGAAATACAAATGGACCTGTGATTGCATTGGCACAAAGAGCTGCCCATATATTTAAAAGAAGACAAAAAGAAAAAAGGAATATACGAAAACAGCCCAAATCGTACAACATTTGCTATATATTTAATATTTGTATTAGTATGTAAGATATATCACATGTAAATATATATATATATATATAAATACGTAAATAAAACCTATAATCAATAGCTCATTAGTAATGATGTTGCGATGTACATAAAAATTGATTGTCATTAACCTAATAATATATTTATCATATAATATGAAAAAACAAAATTTTCTTTTCTATTGTCGATAGTATATATCTTAACGTCAATAGTAGTAGTCCAGAGAAAACACAAAGTCGTCTAAAAGATTGCTAAAAGACGACTAAATTGTTATAAAGATCTTTTAACCCAAATTTTTATGTAAACACCGATGCTTTAACACCGAACGTGAATGGTGAAAGTGGATAATGGAGTAAATTTTACCCCTATAATCCGTATTTTACCAATCAGCGCTTGGTTTCACAGCGCCGGTATCGATATGAGGATTTGGGTTTAGGGATCATTTATATTGGCGATAACCGTATACCGCCCATACAGCACAGAAAGATTGTAAAATGATTGCATATACAGGGTGGGGCATTTTAATCGCCCCAGGCGAATATCTCAGAAACTAAGAGAGATACAAGAAAAAGTTTTATATGAAAGTTGTAGGTTTTCTTAGGAGAAAGGTGGAAATAAAGGATTTTGGATAGGGGGCACTACTAAGGTCAGGTCAGGGTCAACATAAATTTTTTAAATGGAACCCTCAATTTTTTATTGCATATTTTTGTAGCACACCTCGAGAGCTTTCCAAAACGTTATAATAAAATATTTTTTCATGAAGCACTTTTCGAGTTATAAATCTTGAATGTTAAAGTTATTAACTATAGAACAATATACTAAAAGCTCATCAAAATCGGAAGGGGACATTTCTATATGCTTCTTTGTAAGGATTGATCTTGAAATAATAAGAAAATTAAAAAGAAACTAAAATTCAGTTTTTTGTGGCTTTATGTTTACATCACCAAGAATAGAAATTCATGTTTAAAAGTTTGGTAAAAGTCGGTACTTTTTTATCTGCGCTTTAATATCCTGAAATACATATTTGTTATGTAAACAATTACAGAAATCGTCGTTTTTTACGCGGTGAAAAATTAAATTTTAATAAGAGTAAAACACATAGTGTCAAAGTACACATTTATCTACTTGAAGAAAAAGTGTGCCAATACAACTGCGGGATTTGTTAGCCATGTTTTATGCTAGAGTTTAATTTACAGACAGCTGCACAAGGAATCGTATCAGTTCAAACTTTAATACGTGAGCGCTTCGACTGTCATACGCTGCGCAGATTTTTTCAATAGATATGTGGGATGTATATATATGCGGTTTCGTAGCTTTTTGACAATTTTTTTCAAGGGATGTATATATATATATATATATATGCGGTTTGGTCCACCTACATTCTGGATTTATCCCACTGCGACGCACGCGAAAGAAGGAAGAAAAGGGCACAGTATGCGCAGTCGGTCGTTGTGAAATCAAACTTGCGAAAATAAAAAAGAACTTGTAACCGTATCAAAGAGCGATTATCAGTACAATCAAGTACAAATCAGTACAACAAGTTAAATCTTTATTATATTATAACGTTGTATAATTCTCTCTTCCTCCCTCCCCTCTTCCTTATCATTTCCCCCTTTACCATTGGACCACAAAAAATAGGAAAACAAAAAATGAGGCGTACAATTTTTTATTTCACATATGTGCTTAGAATAAGGACGACAATTGAAAGACAATTAAAATATTTTGGATTGAATTTGTAGACTAAAAAAAATTATAATTACTATTGGTACAGATTACTCTGATATTGTTAACAAATAAAAAAAATTATATGAATAATGTGATATTATAATACTTTTGACATACCTATATTTGTACAAAAAATTAGTATATATTATGGAACATATTAGGTTTAATGATTTCAATCAGAATCTGAACCCGAACTAGCATCCGATTCATATTCTCCGACGTTGATGATGAACTTGTATTCTTGATCGCAACCAAGATAAGCATCGCTCATAAAGTACAGAGTGTAGGAATGCTGACCGGGTGCAGGAGCGACAAAATCCAACTTAATCTTTGCCTTTTGTTGTAACGTCAGACGTTTGATAGAGAGCAACGAGTTGCTCTTCGGGTCGCCAATTACTACCCACCAACCTTCCTCACGTTTTTGCGGGAAGAACGGCGCGACTACCGGCCCGATTACCTCATCTTCCCGTTCCAGTTGTACGATCACATTTACTGTGCCGCCACTGTGTAATTTGTCTTTCTCCTGTACTTCATACGACATCTCAATGTTAGGATATCGATTGCAGAATTTGGCCACGTCTGCCATCTGCGCATCCGTTAACTGTAATAGCCGATTTCGATCATCATCTTCGAGTTCCATGACGTCAAATACAGTCTCCACGCCCTTGTCGGTGCAGCGCTTGATGGTCTCTGCTGTAAAGTGCGGCAGTTGTTTCAGATATGAATCTTTGGACCACATCGCTTGCGTCACCATCTGCGCAAGTTCCATAGCGGCGACGGCAGGTGCTAACCATCCAGAGGAGCTTAAGACATCGACACAAGCTTGTATCAGTCTTACGGCCTTGCTCAACACCAGTTCAGTATCCTTTTGTAATTCTGGGCCTAGCTGTATCCTCGATAAATGAGCTTGCAGAAGAAGCTGCGCCTTCACATGAGGATCGGCCATTCTAGCAGCCTGTGGAGCATGAGGTAAACGTGCAGCCAAACTTCTCAGTAAATTTTCTTCTCTTTGTCGCACCGGAACGCTCTCATACTCAGCAGCTGCTGAAATAATCTCTAGCAAACCTCTGATCTTCGTCTTGTTATTAAGAGACAGACTGAACAATTCGATAGTAGCGTAATTGATATAGTAGTAGGCAGCAATCATTCCGAGATTAAGAGGCAAAGTATCCATTTCGTCTTCCACAGCGACACATTTGGCTTGTTCTAAATCAGTTAATGTGCTCTCGACCAGCTCGGATAGATGATCTGAGAGGTGCCGATGTGTGACACCTTGCAGGCCATAGTAATTAGGATTTTGAGTGAGTCGTCGATACAGGAAAGTCCACGTGAGGTAATCGACCGCGTCTTGTTTATTTTCGATCGTCTTCGTCACAATCTCCGCGTTGAAGTGATCATGCAACCGACGATCCAAGTGACTCTCTACCGGTAGTGGTTCATTTAAAAACTTCTTAAAAAAATCTTTTTTTGAGCTTTGACACAAGAGCACGCATTTGGCGTCTTCATCTTCTAACGGACGATTAGCTCGCGCTACCATCTGCAGAACGTCTGTGATCGGATAATCCTCGTAGGCATGTGTCTTGCCATTATAGCACTGTGTGTCCATGACTACGACAAGGTGGGAGCTGATAGATAAACCCCAACAGAGATCCCTCGTAGCGACCGCAACTTGAATAGCTCCACTGTCAAATAATTGCTCAACTAAACGACGATCGTCGGCCGATAAACCCTCGTGAAGATAAGCCACACCTTGCGACAAAGTTTCCTTCAACGTTTTGTCGCTCATTCGATCGAGAAATGGTTTAATGTCAGCCTCTTCCGCGTGGAAGAATCTCGAGGGTTGACCCTCAGCCGCCGTGAATGTCAACAAGTCGATGGCTGTTAATCTCGCTTGTCGACGAGTGGGTACAAATACGATCACCGGTTTGTGTGCAGCGTGTCGAAGGATTGCGTTATATACTGGTTTTGCCATGGCAGCTAATCTTGATGCGTTATGGGTGACATTTATACCTTGCACGTGCAACTCCAAAGGTACCGGTCGCACAGTAGGATGAAAATTAAAGGTTGCAGCTGCCGGTGCACCCAACCACTGTGCGGCGTCTTTAGCATCAGCCAATGAGGCCGATAATGCTATTATTCTGGTGGGTTTGTCGAGCTGCGAGGAGATGTAACGTGCTCGCGAACATGCAACTTCTAGCACAGGGCCTTCTTCACCACCAATCAACTGCAATTCATCCACGATAAACAACTGGATGTTTTGGACGTTTTTCCGTTGCTTCCATCTACGTGATAAAACGTCCCATTTATCCGCCGTGGTGATAATGATCTGTCCTTTGGCAAGTAGCTTCAAATCCGTTCCTGTTTCACCGCTCAGTAGGACAACTTTTCTTCCCAACTGTTGGCCAAATTTTGCTGCCCAATCAGCATAGACCAATTCAGCTAAAGCCTCTTTGCTAACCATATATACGCATCGTCCTTCCGGATTCTGCGTTAATAACCTTAGCACTGCAAATTCTGCGATGGTAGTTTTTCCTGAACCTGTGGGTGCTCCAACAAATACATTATCGTCGGAATTATAAATTGCGTTGAACACTTGCGTCTGGATTGGATTAAACTGTGGAAAAGCAGAATAGATATTCTCGAATTTAGCGTTTCGCAACGCTGTTATCGGCAGCGCCTGCAAATCCAGCAATTCCGTAGGTGGAAGATTCTTTTCAGGCAATATCAAATGTCGAAAGCTTACAGGCAATTGTGTCTCCGCACCAATCCACCGATCGGATACAACGCGCAAAAAGTATTGTGGTGGCAAAGGCTCAAAGACTGGCACGAAGAACTTAATTACATGTTCATCAGCTGCGTATTTGGCCTTCAATAAGAAATATTCGTGATGCAAAATTACCTCTGAATCTACGTCTTCGACTAAGATCCAAAACGCTTCCGACATACCGTGAATTTTCTCGTCCCATTGGAAATCTGGTGTGATAGTCAGCACAACTCTTAGAGTGGAACGTGTAATCGGCTGGATATGCGTGGACAAGCCAAGCTTCGGAAATTGATGGACGTATTTGTGAATGGTTTTGCCTAGTTTCGGCACGCGGATCAATTCGCCTATCTCATTGGGTCCCAGATCGTACAGCCTCTCCCATGGAAAGTTCTTCTTCTCGATCTTTTTCACAATCTCTTCCGGCATCTTACGGAATTGTCTGAGTGGCGACATTGATTGCCACATCCTGCGATCGATCATCTTACAGATAGATAAGCATTTGTCTGCTAATTGTGCCCACCCACGGAATAGAACTATTTCAAAGATAGCTCTCATGAGACGTGAGGCGGATTGCGTCACAAACACCATATCAGACATAAGAGCGAATCCTTCAAGTTTCAACTGCGAGATGTATGCTTGCAATAGCACATTCACTTTCGCGCTTGGTTCCTCAATGCTCTCTTTCACCGGTATCGGCACTCTTTCATTTTGAACTCACTCGACAGTGAAAACACCCGGAACAATTCTATCTCGCTCAATGTGCGTTTCAGCAACTGATTATACGTAGACATAGTTTCGTGAGTACAATAATAATGAGATGCTATTCTACCTAATTCGGTCGCTTGAAAATTGCCAGATTTGCGATCGTACTTGATTAAGCCACTACGATCTAATCCGACTGCAGCTGAATGAATCAGATCAGCTCTATGCAGTTCTAATAAAGGATCTTGTTTCAATTTGTCGTGACTTATTCCGTATAGATTTGAACAGCGAAGCATTCTAATGTAAAGATAAGTATAGCCAAGCCAGGTAACCGCGTCTCTGATATTCTGAATCGTTCCTAGCACTACTTCCGCATTTAACATATCGGACATCTTACTGATTAATTGGGATTCAATAGGTAGTTGCTGATTTAAAAGCGACAGATAATATTGCAGCTCGCTATGATTTGTGATGAGGATACCCTCGCCTTTAGTGTCATACTGCGGTCGACCGGCTCGTCCTAACATTTGCAGTACGTCTAAAGCGCCCAGCTCTACCCATCTACCTTTCTCCGGGTTGTATACCTGAGTACCCTTGATGATAACTGTATGAGCCGGCAAATTGACACCCCAAGCTAAAGTCGCTGTAGATACGAGAACTTGTATGTGTCTATCGGCGAAGAGATCCTCTACCAGCGTACGATCCACACGAGTCATACCGGCGTGATGAATCGCAAAACCATATGGTAGCAGATCTTTAAGCTCTTGATTTTTTACTTGCTCTGCTTCTGTTCTCAAAACCTCCATCGACGCGGAACCTTCCCTAAGAAATTGACCTAAGGTATCTTTCTCCAAGCACATATCTCGAATAGCACGTGCTGTTTTTCCGGTTTCCTTACGTGAATGCACAAATATCAGTACTTGATTCCTGCCAGCGTGTTCCATTGTCTTTTCGTAGACGATCTCATTCATTACTTGGAAACGCTTCAACGCTTTCTTCTCCGTAACGCCAATATACTGCTGTTCTAAAGCTACAGGCCGGAAACTATTGTCGAAATAGAACAGTCCTGTCTCCGGTTTAATGCGCAAAAATGCTGCAACGTCTTGATAATTGGGTAATGTAGCCGATAAACCAACAAGACGCACGTCTTCTTGAGTAGTTTCGATGTTTCGTATCGTTCTTGCGACCAGTGCTTCCAGAACAGGACCTCTTTCGTCATGCAATAAGTGAATCTCGTCGATAATAATCAATCGTACTAATGATGTGAAAGTTTTCTCGCCACCCTTTCTTGTTATAATATCCCACTTCTCCGGGGTACATACTATCACTTGAGTAGCGGCAATTTGTTCTCGCGTTAACTGATGATCACCCGTCAATTCGGAAACAGTCAGATTATATGTTGACAATCGCTTGCGGAAATTGCCGACCATTTCTTGCACCAGCGAACGCATCGGAGCGACATAAATTACTTTGAATTCATCTGCATTGATTGTACCATCAGCGTTTATATGTCTTCCAATTTCTCGCATCATACACAGCAGAGCTACATTGGTTTTACCAGCTCCTGTTGGAGCACACAGCAGCAGATTCTCATCGCTCTCCAATGCCGTCTGATATAAGCGACTTTGTATACGATTCAGCGTCTTGAAACCATCAAAAGCAGGTTGCACATACTTAGGTAATTGCTCAATTGGATGCAATTTTTCATTTTCCGCAAACGGTTTCGGTTTTAGAGCAGGAACGTGAACTTCTTCATATCTGTAATTATTAAATGTTCAAATTAATATGAGCAACAAAGGTAACGAAAATCTAAAAAAAAACATTTATTTGTCTAGTATCACTTACAGATTGATTTTTAGAAATCATTTTGATAAACTATAAATATTATTTTCGATAATTTTTTGACAATTTTATATAAAAAATAATGAATCGATTCTCCTGTTAACTCATCACTACTACCTCAGAATGTAACATCAAAAACGAAAAACACGATAAAAATTCTTGTAAATCATATTTGAATAAAAATATTTTTCAATAAAACAATATTTACAACCGATAAAATAGATTTATATTATAAATTAAAAGTAACAAAAACTATCTTCTTGTTTTGAGCAAAAATTAAATCATATTTATATCTATGTATTATTAATTTGATAGTTTGTCATAGCTGTGAATACAATACTAATGTCATTTCTGGTTATACATAATTCATTTCTATACTCGAGAGAAAAGGATAAAATCTGACCAGATCAAATTATATCTCGGCATATCAAATTATATATGGTCAGATATACTCCGATATGACTTCTCATATCAAATCTGATAAACAATAAGACGAACCATTCACCTAATTGTAAAAAACATCTAACTTCTATCGGAATGTTAATTCCACTTAAATTAATAAACCATTCATCGTGTAAAAAATCAAACGTATCTAAAATCAAACGTATCTTACAACGTAAAGAATCAATTTGTATTTGAAAGGTTTATTCTAGTCTCTGCAAGACTTAATCGCCAAATGGCCTTTCCTCACATGTTAAAAAAATTTATGACGGGTAAAAATTTGTTGGATAGAATGTCCTGTTAGAAGATCATATATCAGATCAATTGCTTGGACTGTGAAAGCATGTGGGTCAGACTAAAAAAGACAGCTTAAGACTATAATTAAAGAACACAAGTCTGATATTAATAAAACAAAAAAAAGCGGATCATTGTCGGTTATTTCTAACCATCGACTATTTGAAAATCATGATTCGATTGGGATCACGTAGAAATTTTGAATAATAAGCCATCCTTTATTAAGAGAAATATCTCCGAAATGATCCACATAAAAAGGTAACAAAAAGGTTCAAATAAGCAGATTGATACGGAATTGCTTTCTGATCACATCTTCTTCTATCTTTGATCCTTTCTCTGCTTAGTAATTCCTACTCTCCTTATCATTGCTCTCTCCAAATTATTATTTTATCCATTCTTATTTTAATTACAGAACTTTGCGACAATCAACTGTAGATTTAATGTATCATCTGATTTACAGTTTCAGAAAGGTGAAGAACTATACGGACTGATTATGTGAAAGTGTTAAGGAGATTTGTCTGTTAGTCGAAAATCAACTTAGAGTCTTAATTTTTTTTATATGATGTAGATAAATACTGTACAAATAATCCCACTATTTAAGCAATATTGACCGATAGTTTTCTTGTAATATTATTCTGAAGTTGACCATAATGTATGCGTATGAAAATAATACAAAATCGGCCTTTATACCGATTTTGAATTGCTCTTATCATGCGCCATAGCCTGTCACTGTCCGTCACATCGCGAAGTGCAACATAGTGCAAATATACACTCGACTTCCCGAGTCGTTGACAATTTCATACATTTGTTAATATTCTATACACTAATAATTTACTAAGAATATAGCACATAAATAGTATCCACAATTCATTACACTAATATTGCATATGATACGGAATCGCTATGACAATTTATTTCAGTCGCATTTTTTACTCCAAAGTTATAGGCGAACCTTTTTAAGATGAAATATATATTTTGTATTGTTTTTTCTAACATTTTAAATGTGTTTTTTAAACGAATTATATATTATACTCACCCTTTCCGCTGTTTTCGAAAACTTCCGTCAGGTAATTGGCAACGCTTATTGGCCATGAAATGACTTCCTTGAGCAAATATAAGATCCTCCAAATCTATCAAGTTTCTTGTACCTTGAACCTGTCCTCCAGGTCCTCCAGTATCCTCATTCTCTTCCCGTCTTTTGCGTTGGGATCTCGCTTCCATTGTCTCATCAGCATCATCTTCACCTTTACCTGTATCTAATTGCCGCAAGATTTTGGCAAGCACCGGGTCATCATTCATTTTGTTTCGAATTTTTTGTCTTTCTGATTCAGACTGCGATGAGGCCAACATCGTACAGTATGCAACTGTAAATTTTATAAATAGTTTATTTTAAAATATTTTTCTTTTAAAATCATATACGAATAAAAAATTACAAATATATGAATATTAATTTGCTAACATATGCAATTCTTACCTGTATGTCTGTATTTTTTAAGCTGTTTAATGAAATCAAAACAATCATAACCTAATAAAAGCACAAGCTGATTTTCACATTCGCGATCATCTGCGGCATCTTTCAAGACAGCTAATACTTCAGCAGCTCTCGCTTGCGATACCATGGCATCATCATATATCCTACTTAATCTTCTTTGCAACCAATATGCATCAATGTCTAATGGATGTAATGGTTTTTCTTTCTTCATTTCTTCTGTTCCACCCAGCTGAAAAATATGTAACAGTTCATATAAATACTCCAAGTGAATTCCTACTAATAATAATTGAGTTTAACATTAACTTATTATTAACTTCCATTTAAGGCTCTTGAGTAGTGACCACGGCCATACTGAATCGTAATGTCATAAGCAAGAAATGAAACATTAATTTTTGTTACATGCTATTTGTAATAAAGATAATTTGGATAAAACGAAATGAGATCGTTTGGAAATACCTGAAAATGAATCGTAGCTATTCTTAGTTTAAACTTCCCTAACATTCAGTAAATAGTCATTAAAGATGATAAAAAGCATGTGAAATGCATTTCATTCAATGCGTATGTGTAGCCTATTTTTATGTGCCTTTTACTACAATATTGACTCGGACGGAAGGGGGGATAGCTTTGACCTATTTTTATAAATGTTTCAAAGCGATCTCGTCATTTTGTTTTATCTAAATTGTCTTTATTTACAAATGACATGTAACAAAAATTAATCCTTCACTTCAGATATAGAGTTTTCATAAAGTCCGAAAACGCTAAGATATCTTGAAAACGATCAACTAACGCAAAAAATATATAAAGACTCAAAGTTGTAGAACTATTATACATAAAATGTACTTAATAATGATAAGAGTTTGATTTTGGATGGAGTTTGCAATGTAAAGGTCAAGTTGAATTTTTTACACTCAACATGACTTGGCGTTAAAGAAAACCTTCCTTGAGAGCGAAATCGAATTTTTTTCTTCCAGAGTGAATATTGTTGAAACTATGAGAGGTAGAAAAATTGTTTTAAATAAAAGTTGAATGGTTTCAAGAATACTTTCTGAGATAATTAGCCGATCCGGAACTTTTGATACGCACTGTATAGTAGTATACACACAAAAATATAAAAATTGAAAAATTTTTATGAAACAGCTCGAATAGAAAAATTATAAAACATCAGGAGACACGGTAGTGTCTCGTGGTAAGACACGCGCAACGACATATCAGCGCGAGACCGGCCATGTATCTTTATGCCAACCGTCGATATTTTCAAGATCACGATTATGAGATCAATAAGAATTGAACCGATCAAGTTCTAAGTACGCTCAATCGGTAGCTTCCACCCAAAATATATAATGAAAGTGTCTTTATTTTTTCTCTGCCTTGTGACCAGAGATATTGTGATGCAAAGTTTTGATACGTTAAATTCTTACTTCAAATAAAATAAGGAAATGAATCGCAAATTATAGTATGTAAAAGGGTAATTATGTAGAATAGGGAAGGTCGCCTGCATCGTCTTCATCTTGACATATGTTGTCAAGGTCAATCACCCTGAGTGATTTTCAAAAGGTTTTAGCTGACGCTCGTTATATTCGTTAAAAAGTTATTAATAAAAAACTTCAAAAAATAACGCGTGGAAAATTGTACGTTCCTAAGCAGAGGGAGGAAGGGGGAGGGGGAGAGGGAAGGAAGGGGGGGAGAGAGAGGGAGAAGTGTAGAATATTACTTGATATTGAATATGTATAGTAGAAATTTGGCTGTGTGTATTTCTTAAACTTATTTTGTTAATAACTTTCCAACGAATAATAAGCGCCGGCTAAAACCTTTTGAAGGTCACTTTTGAAGGTCATGACATTGACAACATATGTCAAGGTCAAGGCGATTCGGATGGCCTCCTTATACTGCATAATTACCATATTGTTTTATCAAGAAAGTTACAAGTTGAAACAATACAAAAATTCAATAAAAAAATAACACTGTTTTTTTTTTACCTTTACCACAATGTCGTACTAATAGGAGATATGACGTTCTCCGTGAAAACTAAATAAGACCTTCCACTACAACTGCTCAGAAACAACTGAGATGAAATCACAGACTTCTGTAAGTAGACTGCCGACTTTGCATCCATGTTTGAAGAGAGCTTTGGGGTCTGAGCAGCGTCATATTTGTGTTCACTCATTTTCACATGTATAAATCACATGGATAATCACTGCTCAAGTAGGTATTGGAAAGTATTTTTAGTACCTATTGTATTTATAATAATACTTATGAAAGAAGAAGAACATTACTTCTTACTTTATAACGACTTCAGCAGTTTATTACACTGCAAACAACCATTTTACATTATTGTTTTTCAGAATACAATTAAAAAGTTACTATGAAATGACATTTGACATTTATGATAATTTCTACTCTAACGTAGTGTTTTTACATTCAATTCACGTGATACAGACAGGACGCACATGTGAACTGAAACAAGGATAGCTCCGAATTAGGTTCATCTCTTCAATCACATTGAATCAGTAGTCTAGTTATAAAAGTTGTGGATGAAACACTGTTGAATCAAAATAATTGACAAAATGCGACAATGTAATTTTGACACAACTGCTCTTTTGTAATGAGTTTTAGCAACTCAGTTATGTCAATTTACAAGAATTAAGAACATTAAAGGGCCGTTCTATTTGTGTAAACAATTAAAAAATGACAATTTTTGAGTTATGTTGTTGTTCTGGAAAATGAACGATATATCCAAAGCTTATTATAATTGAAAGAAGTCAGTTGGTTGCGTCCTTTGTTAGTTTTATAATGTAAGAAATTTGTGGCACATTGAAAGTCATAATTGAAGGAATACGATATAAATAGTAACTTGTTTTGAAAATTTATATTTCAGTAAGACTAATTGAGCAAAACCTTACGTTTTCTGCATGAATAGCTCTGTCATCATTAGCTTCTTCACCTTCATCACCTTCGTCTTCATTTTCTCGTACTTCTCCATATACATCTTCATCATCTTCCTCGCTACTTTCTTCAAACTGTACATTGATCCCATATGTTTCGTCAATATTTTCATCATTTGTTGTACTTTTTTCGTCGCTACCAAAATCCGTGATCTTCTTACCAAGATTTACAAGCAGTGCAAATCTTTCTTCTGCTAATAAACCGAGTAAAAGTTCAGTTTCCTTTTTCTTTTCTTTCTCTTTAAGTCGGTCATTTTTTAATACAGCTAGTACTTCATCAGCTGCACCGCAAAGAATATCACGTGGTTGGTCACCTAAAGCTTCTTGTATGAAACTGAGTAATACTTCGTAAGTTTGACGTGTCTCTTGTGTTTTTGGACGATATACAATACCAACCATTTCATTCACACCTTCAGATAATAATGTTGCTCCTTTCATACGAGTGAAGTCATATTGTGCTTCATCGCGTTTTTGTCGTCTATAAAATGCGAAACATATTAACTTTGAAATAATTGAAATATATAGATTATAAACTGTTGTTATAAACTGTATTAACAGATAGTTAATCTGATAATTAAATTGCATTATTATAATAAATCTTTTTATAAAATTACAAAAATGGAAACTATTTTAAAATTATTATTTAAAACAGTAATAAATTACACTGAAAATTGACCACTGTTGTGAATATTGTCAGTGTAATGTATAACTTTTTTATATAATAGTAATAATTTTAAAATAGTTTTCGTTTTTTTGTAGTTTTATAGAATTGAAAGAAGCTGCAACCCAATTTATGTTTCAAGGTACCTTTCATTTTCACATGCTGTAAACATCAGTTCATCCTTGTTGTTTATCAAATATTAAGCAAGGACTAATGATACTTACAAGCGCTGTAAATGCAAAAAAAAAAAAACAATGTACCTTCAATGTTCACTATTCTTTAAGTGCTACTTGTGTCTTGACGTTAGAATCAGAAATATAATGTCAATATATCGTCAATAATAGGCGATTTTTGGCGTGCTTCTGGTATAGCAACCAAAAGCAACCGCGACTAAGGTTATCTTCATTTTCAGGGATCAGAAGATAAAGATAGCCCCAACCGCAGTTACTTTTGGTTGCTGTACCAGAAGCACGCCAAAAATCGCCTAATACTTTAGTAGAAAGTAAGATTTGATTGTATGCATAGAATTATCATTCCTGAGACAGACGTTTGCTCTGAATCTGCTGACACGAAATGTTTCAAATCTGTCCTCGTGTTGTTGAATACGTTGTTGATTATGTATTACATGTTTTTAACTAAAAAATACACAGCACTAGTCGAAAATTTGTGCTCAGAAAATTTATGCATTAAATTGCACGATTTTGCAAAACATGCTTGGCTATCAGGGTTGTGTTCAAATCCAATTACTGATTTACAATAAACTTACTTGACTTTTCTTTCCTCTGCTTTTCCAGGTTTGGTACGCTGGGCCCTATCACCCATACGAGTACCATCCAATTTTCCCACGAGAGACATAACTTCACCGGTAGCTTCATCTCGACTGCGTCTTTCTATTAACCGGACATCAGCTTGTAAAACAAGATTGGAATTCTGTAAATGTTATCGCGATATAATGCAACAAAATCGCATCGCAGATACAACATGCCGTAAATGTAACGTCATAAATATCATATAAGTCGTACATTATAAAAAAGTTAGCACATAGTAAGATAATTAAAACCAATTCTTATGTCATCATTAAAAAAATCAACAATTAAAAATAAGAAATACAAACCGCTTTATATTCGTATTGTAATTGACGTGCAGCAGCGTCCGCCATGATTTGTTTTCAATGAGTACGTCGCGCGTTCACGAAGGATCGAAAGTGGGCACGAAACATTGGGCGAGTTCAAGACGGCAAAGCGGCTAGGCATGCTTACCGAGCGATTGAATATGATTGGTTGGATCTATAAGTAACAACCAATTATGTTCGATTTGCTTGGCGAGCAGGCTAGCCGCTTTGTCAACTCGAACGCGCCTATTGGTTGCGTTCAGCAGACTCAACAGTTGAGTGAGCGCTCGCTGCTATTGATGTATCCTTTTAGATCTAAAATTCTGATTGGATAAGCTAAAAGAATATACCAATAACAGCAAGCGCTCACTCAACTGTTGAGTCCGCTGAATGCGCCCATTACGTGAGCGCGCGGAATGGCCATTCTACAATAAGCCATTAGTCATAATTCAGAAGTAAGAAGCTGAAAATTGACCAATCACAGTCGTCAATTTCCAGCTTCTAACTTCTGATTTATGACTAATGGCTTATTGTAGAACGGCCATCATATTCGACTGTGAATACAGATCCCCTTTACACTCGATACGCGTATTAACTAGTAACTTTCTATTAAATTATTTTAATTTAAGCAACGTATTTAAAGAATGATGTACTAAATTGGTAGAATATGCATCAAAATGATTAATTAAATACACATATCATGTATATGTTTACACGTTTCGCCGAAATTAAAATAATCCAATAGAAAGTTACTAGTCAGTATCCGTGTCAAGTGCACAATGTAAACTAGGCAACAGAAATTTTGTCTGCGAGGCAGCCCTAAAGCCGGCGGCACGCGATGCTTGTTTTCTTGCTGAATTGCTAGCTAGAATAAATTCTTGCCACCGTATTGGCTACGATGCTGACACTGTCAGTACCGCGGCCAATACGATGGTAAGATTCTAATCTAGCTAGGAATCCAGCAGGAAAACAAGCATCGTGTGCGGCAGGCTTTAGACCGGAATCAGACTACGCACTAAAGATTGAGGTTGAAGATTGAAGATTGAAATTTGACCAATAAGGACCAATAAGAAATTTTAGCTCCTTTCATTTCGATTAGTCAAATTTGAATCTTTCAATCTTCAATCTCAATGGCTGCGTTCAGCAGACTCAACAGTTTTGCAACCGTTTTATGATTGTCTGCTGAGATAGGACCATTCTTCTAGATCTAAAAGTATGATCCAATCAGCGCGAAGGAAACTTCCAACAGTTGTAAAACAAACGTTCTGCTGAACGCAGCCATTGGCTGCGTTCAGCAGACTCAACAGTTTTGCAACCGTTTTATGATTGTCTGCTGAGATAGGACCATTCTTCTAGATCTAAAAGTATGATCCAATTAGCGCGAAGGAAACTTACAACAGTTGCAAAACAAACGTTCTGCTGAACGCACCCAATCTTCAATGCCTAGTCCGATTCCGGCCTAAAACCTTGTGTCCACGATGCTAGAAATTGGTCCGAGATCTCGGAGAGAGAAAGAATTAACCAATCACATTTAAACAATTTAGTCACATGATCAATGCGATTGGTCAATTCTTTCTTCATCCGAGATCTCTAGTACGGATTTCTAGCATCGTGGACACTGGGCTTTATAGGTATGTACGCTTCATTCATTACATTTGGCTGATTTGGCATGTGCGCAGAACCGTACGAAATTCGTCTCGAGTCTCGAGAACGAGCACACCTGGGTTTCTTCCACCATGTGAAAATTGACCTGTCGGTTTGTCGTCTAGAATTCGTTAACCATTGTTTCTTCTCTGTCCGAGTCTCTTTGATTTTGCTGACCTCGAGAGCGAGTGTCTTGTGTCTTCGTTAAAACGTCTCACGTTAGTCATATACGCTCGCACGGGAGAGATTGTTCTACAATTTGTACGTGGTTCAAAGTAAGTGATCCGACGAGCGGAAAACATCATCGGCTATGAGAGAGTCGGCAGATTTGTCGCACACGCTTCGCCGGATTTCCTCGAGTTACATTTAATGGCTTCGGCCATCGTCGTGGTTACGCATCGCGCGCGATCTTAACCTCCGAATTAGCCATTCTAGCATTACATACATATGTAATCCTCTGGCCTTGCATGTTACAGACGCCCGACAACAACGCTAGACTATTTTTCTCGTCGTTATTTATCTTATTCTATAACGTGATTTATCTTATTCTATAACGATTCCAAAGTTGAAATGTTACAGCGTAATGATGTCAAGCACACGTTTTCTTCAACTTCAACTTACATTTTTGCAATTTTACAGCGATAGATTTATATTGAATATAGGAACTCGAGCGTTTGGCCATTTGCACGTTTCTTGGAAATATTCATTGAATATTTGAATCTCAAGCGTTTGCACGTTTCTCGCAAACCTTTTTTAAAACGTTTCGAAATTCTATCCCGTAATTTATTGTTCTTGGAGAAGTTTCAACATAGAAAAGATAATCTTATAAATAAACTACATTTATCTATATAATATTTTCAGAAGAGTATTGTATGAGTCAAAAAATAGAAAAACCGATACTATCAGGTCAACGCATAAAGACCAGAAAAAGAGGTAAAAAGCAATTGTTATTTAATATGTAAAATTTTAAAAACCAATTTTCTAAATCTTATACTCACAAAAGCAATTGTTTGTAGATGAAAGAGAAAAATATGACCCAACCGGATTTCGAGATGCGGTTTTGCTTGGTTTGGAGAAAGCTGGTAACGACTTAGAAGCAATTTCTAAATTTTTGGACGCGGCTGGTTCCAAGTTGGACTATCGTCGATATGGAGAGGCACTTTTTGACATCATGATAGCTGGAGGCCTTTTAGTTCCTGGTGGTTCCATTGCTCAAGATGGTGACAAACCAGTTAAAACTAGTGCATGCGTTTTTGAACAGCCAGAGGACATGGAGTCTATGCGAAATTTTGAACAGGTAAAAAGTAAATATAATTGTGTATTTTATTTTATTAAGTTTCTATCACTGTTTTAAATGAAATTAAATAACTTGACATTTCGGGACATTGTCTTATTTTTCACACGTCTGAAATTTCGGTAATTTGACGTTGCGGGTCATTGTCTTATTTTTTAAATTTCGGCACGTTTGTTTTCACGACATTGCACGTCCACCAAAATAAATATTGTTTGAATAAACAGGTTTTTATCAAGCTCATGCGGCGTTACAAATATCTGGAGAAGATGTTTGAGGAAGAAATGAAGAAAGTATTAGTTTTCATGAAAGGATTTTCACCTAAAGAAAGAATCAAGCTAGCTAGGATGACAGCACTGTGGATCTCAAATGGTTCTGTACCACCCACGGTACTCTCAGTCCTGATAAATGAACATCTTGTTAAGGACAATTTGGCATTAGACTTCCTACTGGAAGTCTTTGTTACTTGGAAACAGGAGAAGGGTTTATCTAGTTTAATGACAGCTCTGAAGAAAGGTGGTATTGAGGGAAGGTAAAGCTAAAATATGTTGATTATTATATGTACAATTTAGATAATTTCTCTTAATATTCTAATTGATTCGCCTCTATACTTGCTATCTTGTTTATGTGATTCCATTCGTATATTTTGTAGGTTGATGGAGTTTGTACCACCAAATAAGCGAACAGAGGAACACTTCCGGTCTGTATTCGAAGCAGTAGGCTTGGCGGATATCGTTAAATTACACAAGGCTCAAGCCAGTCAAGAAGCTAAGCGGGATTTGCAACAACTTCTCTTGGATGATTTAGCAGAAAATAGGCCGATGAAAGACATTACATTAGATCTCAAAGAAATGGCACAAAGGAGTGGCATTCCTACCTGAACATGAAGTGATTGGATTGGTAATTGTTTTGTTTTTCTCTTATGCACTTTATTAAGACACAAAAGTATTGTTTTTTTGTCATTCACCGTTTATAGATTTGGGTTGTCGTAATGGGCCAAGCTGAATGGAACAAGAAAGAAGAGTTAGTCGCTGAACAAGCACTGAAACATTTAAAAGTTTATACTCCACTGTTCGGTGCTTTTACAACCACTGCCAGATCTGAGCTTGCACTCATCCTCAAAGTTCAGGAGTTCTGTTATGAAAACATGAATTTTATGAAAGTCTTCCAAAAGATTGTTTTACTCTTTTATAAAAGTATGTATATATATATATATATATATATGTTGAGAGAGAGAAAGAGAGAGAATTACTAACACCAAGATTTTATATAATATACATTGTAGATTTGTATATATAATTTAATTAGATATTGCAGTAAATAATTTTGTTATGAAGAATCGAACGTTTGACTTTTAGCGGAAGTTGTGTCGGAAGATGTAATATTGAAGTGGTACAAAGAAGGGCATTCCGTGAAGGGGAAAATGCTCTTTCTAGACCAAATGAAAAAATTTGTGGAGTGGCTACAGAATGCTGAAGAGGAATCTGAATCAGGAGAAGAAGAGGATTAGAGATATTCAAGTAACTTTTTACAAAAGTTTATACAAAATCCACGAGGAATTTATATTATATTTTATAATTATATTTTACATCATTTTTTTTTCTCTATAGGAAAACGCATCATTGCCAGTGACAAGAAACGATAGTCCTAAAATTTTGAGATATAGATCAAGAACAATATCAATCAGAAAAGGCATATGGAAAAACAAAATATAAATAAGATATAAATAAAAGTCAATGTTAGGAACTCCATAATGAATTAAGTATTCAAAAGAATAGAAAATTTTTAAATTATCAATAAGGACTAAACACTAACATCCAATCAGTGTGGAGGAACTGTAAATTTGCAACATCTTTGAATTGTATTACTTTAAGAAAAAATATTTTGTGTTACATTTTTATAACTCCGCTACAAAATATATACAGAATAACAAAGAATTATAACAAAAAAAAAAAATCTTTATTCCTGTGTACGTACAATTTTCGGATCCCTGTCTTTCTTTGTATAATAATATTGTACTAGTTTATAGAAAATATACTGACAGGTGGTGTTTAATATTTTGAAGTTTTGGTAACAATTCCTTATAATACTTCCTTACGATAGAATGAACAAATGTCAGGAAGAAGTTTCACGATAACATAAATTGTCTTTATGCTAAAATTTGTTTCATGATAACATTCTAATATTATTGAAAAATAAAAATGCTTTTTAAGGACTTGATCTAGAAAAGAAATTTGTTCAATCTACGATCACAATATTCATTCATGGGCAACATGGTTGCAATATTTATACTTTATTTATGCTTTTTCTTTTACGTTTAATTTTTGTTTATATTTGTAAGTTCTCATATCTGCGATTGGTTGCTTTTTAATGAGTGTTTTACCCTTCATCAGAGGCACCAACTCATTTGGCACAGTGATACGATGATGTTTCGTTTGATATGTTTCACACAATGCGATTAACATGCGAGGTATCGCGCACGCAGTTCCATTTAGTGTATGCACGTGAGCTGCATTTCCGTCTTTTGTCCTATATTTAATATTGAGGCGCCTTGACTGATAATCCGTGCAATTACTACAACTGGATAATTCACCGTATAATTTTCTTCCAGGCATCCAACCTTCCATATCACATTTTCTGAAACAAAAAGAATTACATTTGTGAAAAATATAAATGTACTGAGTGTCCCGTTTTAAATGACGGCCTCAAATATCTCTTGAACAGTTCACTTTAGAGAAAAATGTTTCAGACAAAAATTTTGTGATTTTGAGGGAGACATAACACTATTGTACTATTGATTTGATCTTGAGTGATGTTGTCAAGGTCAAGGCGAAGTCATTTTGAATTTTTTAAATAGACAATACAAATAAGAAGTAAAACCAAGGCCATAGGAGTCAAACGCAAGATGTAAGTAATGTGGAAAACATTTAATAAATCTTTAAGAAAGAACGTTTCAAGTTTGAATCATCTTCAGCTTGTATTGTTAATTAAAGGAGTTTTTCAATATTTAACATTTTGTTTAAGTATATTATTGCTAATTTTTAAATAGAACCTCTCATTTTTCATTACATATTCTTGTAGCTTATCTCGAGAGCTTTTCAAAGTTTTATAATAAAATATCTTTTCATTAAGTACTTTTCGAGTTATAAAGCATAAAAGTTACTGCCGTTAATTAGCATTACCCAAGATATATCATACGTGATCGGATTTACACCTCTTCTATGCGCTCGCACTCACATACGTCACACACGTGTGCGCGCGCGCTCGCACATATACACACCATGAATGAAAAATGAGGGGTTTCATTTAAAAAATTCAAAATAACCTTGTCCTGATCTTGTCATTTAAAATGGAACACCCTGTATATAGATGTAAGAATATAATTGTCCACAATGCATTACCTATAAGCTGATGAACCTAAATCAAGTGATGGCATATCCATTATTTGAAAGTGCAATCCTAAGGAAGAGAACAATCCCTCCTGTATATTTTGAAGATCTTGAAACATTTCCTCAGATTGATTCGGTTTGGAGCAAACAAACATTTCCACTTTAGTAAATTGATGAACTCTGTCCAAACATATTAAGTTAAAAAATAAAATCAATTTAAAAAATTTGAAGTTTATCTTTATATGTTAATCTTAATAACAATGTAATCTCTTGCCTATAGATTCCTCTTTCATCTAGAGAACCTGAACCCTCTGCACGATAGCATCGGCTGACAGCAGCCAATTTCATTGGTAATGCGTCATGGGAAATTATAGTATTCATTAATTTGCTAGCTAATGACATTTCTGCAGTTCCAGACAAGCTATAATTGTCATCATAATGAGAATCTAAATTGTATACCAAAGTCCTATTATTATCCACTATTAAACCACATCTCTCGATTATTTTAGTAAGGATGATGTCAGGTACTGACAATAATTTAAATCCATGCTTCATTAATCTTCTAAGTGTATACTGAACTAATGCTTCTTCCAATTCTGCTAGATCCCCTAAAAGTATATAGCTTCTTTGTCCGGTAACAGGACCGAGTGTATGGGTTCTTATTGCTTTTAAATTAGTGGCAAGTTCAGCGAACTCTTGTGGCTCAAAGTCAAATTGTGGTTTTCTGCCACATTTCTTCAGCAATCTTGGTTCATCTCCATACTCAATTACTGCAGGATGCGTGCAATTTGGTATTTTGCTTAATTCTTGCAAAAGCAATTCTTGCTTCTCAGGATTGCCAGAATATTCGAGAACTTTATCAATATCTCCAATACCTTTTCGACTTTTAATATTGCTGAAAATAATGTCACGGTTTGCAGGATTGCATACAAAATCTATATCATATTCTGGTTCTGGCATAAATAATCTCGTGTCGATTATATTTTTCTTTGGTGTTTCTGTGGGCTATTACAAATATTATTATTATTATTATTGCTAAATAAATAATACTTTAAACGTTTTATTATAAATATAATTTGTTACTATATAATAATGTACAAAAAATTGCAAATAATAGTACATACTAATGTGTGTAGCAAGAAATGCCGTGCTCTACAAAACTGCTTGAAATTTTGTTGAAGATTAACTCTCATTTTAAAGACAAATGTATTAGTTTATATAATCTCAATAATGTGTCTAGTGTTAAAAACGGGAGCAATTATTACAGTTTAGCTAAAGCGGCTAAAATATCAATAAAATTAGACTCATTCGACGCGTTTTTGCATGAAACGAAATAATCTGGCAGAAATAAGCGTCGCTCTGCCCCAAGAATCGAGATATCAAGTGTTAAAGTTAACGACTATCGAGGTTATGAAATTTGTCAACTGGGAAATTGGCCCCGCGCAACACCGAATCACACAGAGGATCAACCAGTGTTGCTAAACGGGCCGGGTTTCAGGCGCATGCGCGACGATGGAGCAGCGAGTATGTACAGTGGTTTAACGCTACAATACACGTAGGCCGTGGTCCGATTTATGCTGACAACGCTCATGAGCATTATTTGTCTTCGTTCAACATTTGACAAACAACAAGGATGAAATGATTTTTAAGCGTCGTAAGCGCGAATCGGACCGCGGCCGTAGTAAGCTTGGTTTAAGAAGTAGTCGACTGTGATTGGTCAATTTTTTGCTCTTACTTTTTAAACCAAGTTTACTACGTGTATTGTAGACGGGCCATAATATGTAGCCGTGTAGCCAGGGTAGGAAAAATGGGCGCGTAGTCTAGACGGACTCTATGTAAGAACGGGTTAGGTAAACATATTAATATATTATACATATTTGTATATATGTATACATACGTAAAATATGTAAAATATATTAAAATTTTCAACATTTTCAAAAATTTTTACATAGGCGATTAATGATCTCCTATTTACTAGCGACAGGTACGTTATTTTCGACGCGCCGGCGCCTGAAACCCGGCTCGTCTAACACATAAGTCCGGATCTACAATAGGTGTTTTAAGTCTTAAGTCGTAAGAAATTGACCAATTACAGTCAAATTCGAGGAAAATAATCGACTATGATTCGTCCATTTTTCATGGCTTAAGGCTTAAAATTCTATTGTAGATCCGGGGTAAGGGCTGTGTTCCAAAAGTGTTTGCCAGCGCTGGCAGGACTTCGTCACCGTTCCAAAAATCATCGTAGCACGCTGTAGCAGTGTGCTGCGAGAGAGTAAAGACGTCACTAATTTTGTCGTCATTTCCTGCTGCGGCTGCTGTTGATGAAGAGGTGAGGCAGCTACAGCACAAATATGGCGGAAAAGATGGAGGAATTAATCTTAATTGATGCTGAGAGTAATACTGAATTTAAAATAAATATTTCGGTAGAAGATGCTGAGAAAGCAAGAAGTAGTGAGTAGATTTATAATTTTTTTTAGTCAGCTTTTTGTGGTCACATTTATTTATTCATACTTTGAATTCAAATACAGAAATTGGCATAACCTACTATATGTACATACAAGAGGAAATCAGAAAGTAAATTTATTTTATTCACATACAATAGGCGTTAACGAAATATGTACATTATTTCTCAATATAATCATTTAGCTTTGCATAAAATTTTGTTTAACAATCTACAAATCTGATTCCGTCTATAAAAATTTTTTCTCTCCATATTTGTAGGTTATTTGTTTCTTTTCGTTGAAGTCGCTATACGTTAACAGCACTCAAAATGTCGTTCCAAAATGAAAGCTGCGTTTGCATGAAAAGCATGCTTACTAAAATTGGAACGCTATTGGTAGCACGCACTTATAACGACATACACGCAGCACTGGCAATCAATTTTGGAACACAGCCAAAGTTTGTTCGCGTCGCAAGCTCCAACATGTTCCAACGTGCTCCAACCATAGCTCCTATTCACTTTATCAAGCGCGTTGGAGTGAGTAAGAGCTATGATAGGAGCATGTTGGAACATGTTGGAGCATGCGACGCGAACAAACCTATAGTATTACTAGACTGAACATTGTCGGAAATTCAAGGAGTGGGGGATAGTCTCTGCGTAGAAAAGGACTTACTGCTTTTGATTTGTGCGTTCTCTCTCGTTTCGTGCATGCGCCTATTAGAGAGAGGGGATCGAAAGAGGTGGTGGGAGAAATAACAGGACGAAGTACAAGCATTGTCGAAGGAGGTAGGGAAAAGTGATTATATTGAGGAGCGATAAAGTCAACCTCGAAGAGATAGAAGCAAAAGCGAGAGAGCGGACGTGAAATAGTAAGAAAAGGAGGGATCGAGTGAGTCAGTGATGGCGTGTACTGTGCAGCAGCCCAGGTCGACAGCCGAGCCCAGCTGTTCCTCGATTCCCTAACCTACACCAGTTTATTTTAGCCGTTTCAACACTTTGCTCTCGTGTAACGACCGCTCCGTGCGTTCTCAGAAATCAACGCGGCGCAACCTCGTTAATTACCGAGGAACTTCGATTCGTGTTTATTTCCTCCTTATTTTGCGCGCCAATGATGGATCGCCCCGAAAAGAAAGAAATTGTTTTATTCGCAATCCAGTCAAGGCTGAAGTCGTTCGTTATAACGGTCAGTTTCCGATGTCTAATCGTTTCACGTATCTGTGAATCGGAGCGAGACGCGAAACGCGGCCGGTCGATCATAAGTCGACATAAGTGTGTATGCGTCAAGTTCAATCGTCGAAACACCGGCGATGTTTCTCAATCGAAGCTGCCGATTTTCTTTATACGTTTCTCCTTTTTCTTCTCCTGTGGATTATGGAATTTTCCATCAGAGCCATTGTTTTCCTTTAATTACGCTCTATCATGCGTTGCAGCACTCGCACGTTTTCAGTCGTCGATACCTATGCGTCCTTCGATGCTATACTTTTCATATATTGTGTGTCTTCGACTTATCGTTATTTGGAAAATTGTTTAGATTCGTACTTTTAACTGTGTACTCGATGTAAACATAGCAAATTGAAAAATTAATTTACCCCAACCGAAGTTTGGAAACATTGTGATTTTTTCGCATTTCACGAAAAGTTAAATATCTCGTTGAAAAAAAATTTTCGACGACGCATTTTAAAACGCAAAGATAGAGCTTTAAATCTGCGTTTAAATTTTTTTTCTACGACTTTTTGTTCCTAAATTACACAAAATTGAAAATTTATATTCTTGCCATATTTTTGTCTTACTTTGAAGTGTTGCAGTTTGATGAAATATCATCGGATAAAATTTAATGTAAAAGTTTTAAAGTAGGCTTTTTGTGCTTTAAAATGCTTTTTGATGAAAATTAATACGATGGCTTTTCGAAAAGTTATTGAATTTTTTATCGTATATAAAATTTCATTGTGTAATAATTTTCTTCAAAAGTGAAAGTCTTTGTCGATTGGAGAAAGTTTAAAAAAAAAAAAAAAAGTACAAATCAAGCGCATTATAACAAACATTTTTCCTCTTTTGTTTTTTTTTCATAAGTTTTCTAGTTTCGAAATTATAAAACATTTGAGAAAAAAAGTAAGTTTTTACGTAATAAAATTTTACATAATAAAAAACTTCGATATCTTTGCAAAAAGTCATCGTACCAAATTTTTTCAAAAATATTTTAAAGCTTAGAAAGCCGCCTTTAATACCTTTATATCAAATTTTGTCCGATGAAGTTTTATCAAATTGCAGCGTTTCAAAATAAAACAAAAACATTGTAAAAAATACCAATTTTCAATTTTATGTAATTTAAGAACAAAATATTGTAGAAAAAAACTTCAAACGCAGATTTCGAATCCTATATTTGCGTTTTAAAATGCGCAATAGAAACTTTCTCTATAATTTTTTTCACTGAAATATTTAACTTTTCGTGAAAATGCGAAAAAATCGCAAGTGTTTTCAAACTTTTGGGCGAGGGTGTACTTAGAATAATTTATTTAGAGTTAAACTTGAATATTCCAAATTCATTTACTTAACAATTATTTAATCTAAACTAAATTCACTTAACAATTATTTAATCTAAACTAAATCTCTAAATTGCGACTTTGTATAGAAAATAGGAGTAAAATTTATCAATATATATTTTTTTGTGACGATTCCTCCATTTTGCAGCTTCTTCTAAGGCAATGAATCGATATTCGGAATAACATTTATATCTCGTTAGCAAAAGAACAAAGAATCGATTGAGTACGCATTTCCGGTTACGATACCGCAAAGCGGATTCCACCAAGAAAGGTGATTGAACGTAAATAAAATAAATGTTTCAATAACTGAATCTATCCAGTAATTGAAAAATCAAAATATTTCTAATTATTTATTAAGATATTTGTTAATAACAGCAAAGAATAGCTAACTAAAAGGAAATTAAATATTTTGTACCAAGATAAATGATAAAAACAATTTTAATTACAAATTATTGTGAAAAAAAATTATTTTTATTTCAAATTTATCTATTTTGCAGAAACAGTTATATTTTCATTCATTTTTTTTATCTTGAGTAAGACATAATAATGCCTACATTTTGAAATTTTTTTTTAATATTGTATATTGTACTTACCTAAACTTGTTTCCTTTATAATTGTATGAAGTTGAAAATTAAATTAAAAAAATTTTTTTCTTAAAAATTCAGTTAATGGTACAATCCATATGGTATAATTATAACATATCAATGAAATTTTATTTAAGGGAAGGTCGGATAGTATCAGACAGCGGATGATATCGAACAAAGATTGATTAAACTTTAGACACATGTGGCAGCACTTATAATACTACTGGCAAGTTCTACATCTATACATGAGAACCGCGACCTCTACATATCAATACTGAAGGCAATATTGTTTATAAGTTATTATGTATTTTGTTGTAAAGTTGTAGTTTACGCCTGCACGAAATTAACTTTACTGTATGTCACAACATTAAACGTAAGTCAAATTTCGTTTTTAGTTTACCAATGTAAACAGTATCTATTATTCTTTAAGGGGATTCTAAACCGATTACCGAACTTGATTGAGGTCGATAATGCAAACTTTTTTAATTCCAAATTCGATAATAGTGACATCTTTGATTCATTTCTTACATTGTATTATATATCGTTCTGTCTCACTTAAACGCATTACACCTGTCCTTATCTAACATATGCCAGCACCATCTATCACAAGATCACGCAACTTCTACACGAATTTCGGCTCTGTTGACATTCCCAGTCTTTGCAAAGCATCCGTATACATATATTTTCCATTCGGTGAAAATACTTTTCTTCTAGACTTTCAATCTTAGTTCTACAAACTCGATATCGTTTGTTCCAGTAATGTAATCTCAGATACACGCTTATTTTCAAGATATCGACTATAAAACTCTTGTATCCAGCAAATATAGACCTGAGGTGATAGCTGTAGTGTCAAAAGTAAGTGAATTTTTTAACTCTTTTTTTTCGATTTTTTCCTGAAATCCAGTGCTGAGGTCCTGTTTGTGCGTATTTTAATTCTATAATAATAATTTTGCAATCTGTAAATCCAATTCGGAGATATTTCACTGAATGGAAATGATGATGAAGTAGGACGACTTTAGCATCCCCTTAAGTTATGAATTAAAAATCGTTATTGTTTTACAACTGCTTGTTTCATATGTTGTTTTTTCGTTGCGCGTCATTCGGATGATATCGGACGAGATTTTTCTATGTGCCATAGCCTTAAGGGGATCTTAAAGTCGTTTGTATTACCGACTAAACCATATAATTTTTGTATAACAATTTTACTTTTTTCTCTTTTACTGCGCTTCGAAAATCCTTTTCCAGGATTAAAATATACGCATTAATACGTGTCTGTGAGATGGAGTTTATGCCTAGAACGTCAAAAAATTTCAAAACTAAGGTCTCCTTTACCATTTCTTAGCCCAATATGGCTTTAGAGCTGTCACGTCTAAAGCTCTATATTAATAAAAGTAGCGCATTTCTTTGATCTGAGCCGAAATGCCGATAACTTTCCTATTGGCTATTTCGACCGCCATTCTGGCCCTAATAGTTCGTAGTCCAATAAGCGCTTAGTATTATTGGTATAAGGTATGGTTAGTAAGACCAATGTAGCGGACTTTTGCGCTACTTTTATTAATATAGAGCTTTAGCCACATCGTAACAATATTTGCTCCGCATAAAAGCTATGCAATCTGTACTTACGAAATAGTAGTCCACAGACTAATAGTTTGCACGAAGAAACAACGTAGAGTTCTTGGAATTCGACGTCTAATTAAAACGTTATTGTTATACAAAAATTTATATGTATGTGTGGCATGCGTAAATGAGATATTGATTATTGATGTGTAGTATGTATAGTGATGCGACAATGACACGTAAAACGTTTACGTGTAAGTGCTATTTTTTTTTTTTACAATATGACTAATCGTTTTTAGAATCCCCTTAAGTCAACGAAGCTTCGGACAACTTTGACCAGATCTAACTCGATAAACTAGAACATTCATGATTGAAAAGTGGCACAAAAGTAGGACATTAAGACTCAAAAATAAACAAAAAAGAGAACATTTTAGGACATTTAATTTTTACTGTCAAAAAAAAATGAAATCTCGAAAAAAGCTTAAATAGCTGATATCACTCTAATAATTTTTTTTTTAGATTTATAGGATAGCGTTGTTGATCACAGATAAAAGAAGATTTCATATAAATAGTAACTTCATTTGTAATACCGTTAATTAATAATCAATAATAATATAGAACTGATCATACCTTTTTATTAATTCAATCATTGGAATTTTTATTGCTATGTTATTCATCCGGCAATTCCGGATTTGATCAATCCTGACGGTTATCTATGTACCGAAGGGAAAATTGTTCGTTAAAGAAACGTGAAGCGCGAGAACATAGATAAAGTATCAGTTAGCGCACGTGTTTCAGTCGCGTTATGACGCTATAAATTTACAAAACACACGACATGAGACATTGTGCGTGTGGGCCGCGCAAACGAACAGCTGCATACTACTATAAATGGTAACGGCAAGACGTTGACACATATGATATATCACAAGGGTGATGGATTAAATGGAAAAACAGGAGTAATCAGAGTATTTTGCATTACATCTGTACCTTCATTTTAAAACACAACGGTGAATCTTACGAGAAAAGTCTGCACGAGAAACGCAACATGTTCGTTTCTGTTGAAGTCTTACAATTTCTACGCGTAGTATCTTTGTCTCGGAGAAAGAAAACTGAATTAAATATTTTCGTTCTCGCATATGCTCAAAGTTTCAGCTGAATATGCGTTGATCATATTGAAATTGAACGTTATCCACGAAACACGTGTCAGTTTCTATTCATATTTTTTATTAACATAACGAATTATGAAAAGTAATGTCGAAATAATTCAAAATAGTATTTATTATGTGTCTACGCGATTGTCGCATACACACATTCCGTGTAGAAATTACATCAAAAATTATGAAAGAGGTGGAGATTCTACTGTTGATTCAAACTACGTTTTTAACGCAATATGAAAACGATTAATCTAGAGTTCGGTAAGATCAGCATATTTTGATCGATTTTCAGCTTGGTTCACGCCCCTTACCTCATCGTCCCAAGCTGAAAATCGGCCGAAATATGTAGGTCTCGCCGAATCTCGAATTAATAACGTAAATATTTTGATTATTGGATCTACAGGATCAAGAATTAATAAACTGAAAAAATGAACATTTTTATTACAAGACGAGTTGCATGCGTTTTAATATCCATTTTCAAAAACATTGGTATCACATAATCATGTTTTTGATGGGACCCATGCGATCTTTGAACTATTAATTGTTACGCGGCGCCGTGCTATATTTCAGAGACGAAGAGAAGATACACTTCAAGTGATGCATCCGCAATGGGCGGATGAGACACAATCCACTTGATTAAAACATGCGACTAGTTGCACTTGCGGAAATTCATCGAAGTGTGAGGCCGGGAGAAGGGCGCGTTGCATCGAAGATAGTCATGAGCGAGTCGCGGTAGCAGTGATGGCGACTGAAATGCCAGAGGGACATTTTGAAAATCTTTGGTTCAGCGCATGCGTCCCTGTGCATTCAACGTCCGACAGTACGTACACGATGGAGCCGCTGTCGTCTCTAAGTCGTTGTCGCTAGAAGAAACGGTCTGCACTGAATGCGTGCCGCACCGAATCCGAGAGAAACTACATATTTCTGATCGTCGCGGATCAACGAATCAGTGCCAATCGATGAATAATCAGTGATAATCAATTCGTCAATTGATGTCGGTTCTTTTACGGGACAAACAGTCGTCCGTTTTCGTCTAAAGAGGATCGATTGCGGGAGGTATCTCTCCAGAGAAGAGAGATAAAGAAAGAAAGGAACACTACTAGTTAGACAGCATTCAATCAATTTTTCAATGCGCATTTCATACAAATATCGAGATTAGAGGAAATGAACGATCCCTAAGCAAGTAAATGTTCCATGAAACTTAATTTGAGACGCGGCGAGAGATGCCTGTTGAAAATCGCGACCAGCTGTCGAGCGGCGGAGGCGAAAGAAGAGGTGGTAGTAGCGGAAGTGCTCCAGTGGAACGCAGGGAGTTCTCGAGAGACGGCCGTGGCGAGCCGGATCTTCGTAATCGTGGAACGATGGCTACGATGATTCCGCTTCCACGTATCGGTCAGTTTACGTCCGCTTCGCAAAATCAAAAAATTGCCAAAACTGAGAAAAATCGACAGAGAATGATTATGAAGAGTCGTGGCACCGTCACAACTATCGACCTCGTGAAGAAAGGCAGGATCGGCAGACGTGAGGAAGAGGCGCTACAAAATAATTGGCGAATGTCGACCGCTAACTGCTCGGCTATCGCGCAATGCGCCGAGGAATTCGGTGATTTATATCAAGACGAAAAGGTGATTAATTAAAGCGAAGTGTCTCGACGGGAACATAAACCAGGTCGAAATATCAATTCTTAAACAATAGCTGCATTGATGTATGACAGAGTCCGTCTAAAAAGTTTCGAGACTGAATTCAGGAAAAATCAAGAAACAAAAATATATACAAATTTTATTAATGAAAACTTTTAATATGGTCCACTTCAGTACACTACTCAGAACGTCTTTCAATTGTTGGAAGCTTTTAAGCCCTAGACACTGCTAGACAAGAACAGCGATAGAAATAGTATAGAAATAAGCGATATATAATTGTCTCTTCCCGTTGCACAATGCCGCAAAAGAAATACCATAAAAGGCCAACCGATCTGATCATGTAAATATAGACTGTGTAGTATACTCTTCCATCTGCTTCAAGATTATAGCGTATATAAACAAAATAAAAAATCTGAACGCTGATTGGTAGGCTATACGGCGATAGATACAGAATTCCAACTCGTCGGAAATTCATCGCTATTGCCTTATTCTGTGTTCTTATGTGCATTAATATATGTATTCCCGAATTAGATTCCTCTGTTTCTATTGCTATCATTATTTCTATCCCTATCAATGTTGCCTTGCATTGTGTTTAGGGCTTTATAGTAGTAATCTTTCGAAATAGCTTTCAATGCGCTTGTCACATTGAAGGTTATTTCAAAATCAATTTACCTAGATGTCCAAAATATCATCAAAATGCATTCTCTTCCCTGATGACAAAATTTTTCAGAAAATTAAAGAAATTTTGTTGAAATTGACATTTCACCGAACATATTGAAAATTTGCTGTTTCGCTGAAATTTTGATGAAAGTGAATTTTTTCCGAAAATTTTATCAAAAATTTTATAATATTTCGCTCAAAATATTGTAAAATTATTATAAATACGCGAAAAATAATTTTTCCACATTTTTAGTTTTTATTTAAACAGTTTTAATATCTGTATATGAGAATATAATATATGATATTAAGTATGTTCTCATTAGTACATTACAATTAAATTTAACATTAATTATTTTTTCAATACATGTTTCATCTTTTTCATAACACCTTTGATCAGATATGTTACAATTATAGCATCATAAGTGTTCATGGATCATCGAACGAACAGTTCCTGTACGATTACAGAGGTCAAGTACGCTATGTTGGGGTTCGGCTTAGAATGAGTGACCGCTTAGGAAAACCATGAAATTAATTATCGAATTCAGAGGGAATGTTTTTTTTAATCATAATTTTATCATGTCTTCTGGAATACGGTAATCGGTAATATTTTAGCAATAAAAGTAGATTAATTAATTTTATTCTTTTTAAATTCCACTAAAAAAGCGTTTCAAAACAAAGATAAATTTCAACCAAATTTCATCGAAGTATCAGCGAAATTTTATTTGAATTTTTTATATATATTTCGGTAGTTAAAACCACACAACACACATTTACGACCAACTTCGAAAGAAAACAATCAACTTCGTCTTGATTTTGGATTTTATTGCCTTCTCTTTGGTCAGTTTTGCTTCCTCTAAGATCAATCAAGTACGAATTTTGAAATAAAAGGAAATAAAAGAGAACACACAATAATGATGTCGAAACGTCTGTAATTTATACTTATGATTTATAATATATGACAGTTATTTCACAAAAAACATCTTGTGTTGGCTCACATTGGCAATTTTTCCTTAATTGATTTCTGTTATAATTTTTGTAAATATCATGGTGAACATTATTTCTTGTTGTTTGTTGTCTTAAATTACAGGCAACGAAAAGAAAAGAGAAAGAAGGCTAATTAGGTATTTTCTGCTTAATCCGTAACAAATTGATCGCACTGATATTGGTGATGAGATGTTTTGTGCTATGGACTTGTGCCATCGACAACCTTTTAGGATCAACAATTATTTACATCGCTAGTGCGACGAAGAACAGAAGAAACATCCGTACTGAATCTCAACATTTTCATCATGTACATAAGGAAGCCACTTTTTCGTTATCTCGTTCAAATTAAATAATTTTATATGATTTGAAAGAGAAAGTATAAGAGTGAACGCGTGTTAGTTGCATAAAAAGAAAAATACTAGATTTACATTACATTAAATGTGTATAGATATAATGATATTTTCGTAAGATTTATTTCCTAAATTTATTTCCTAATTTACATTTTAAATTCACATTAAATGCATAAGAATTTAATATTAGAAATCGAATTTGCGAATATTATGATACGTTTACATGTTTAATGTAACGTCAATAGTTTTTGTTAATACAAAATGCGTGTGTGTGATATCAGTACAAATTGACCTTTTTAAAAAAAAGGTAAAAGAAGGTGCTAAGGATATGCTGCTCGAATAGAACCTAAGTGATACGTATCTTTTTATCTTAACTAACCAAGTTAAATTCTATCAAATTGAAAAGTAAAACCCATGTGGTACTATTATCGTTATTTACTTATTAACTCTAATTATATGTATCATTTATATAAAAGATATCAACAACTGGGCGCCAAATTAAATTCCACAAAATTTTATGTATCATTCGTATAAAAGATTTGATATCAACAATTGGCACCAAATTAAATCTCATACCAAATTAAATAAATAATATTAATATCATAAGTATCATTCATACTTTGTATTCCTATTGAAGGATCTTCCTATTCCGATCCAAATGTCTTTAATTCTTCTTATATGAAATTTTTATATTGCAATTCATTCAAAGACATTTTCCTTTCCAACCAAAGTAGTAGTTACAAAATTTTATCATTCGCATCTATAAAAGGTTACCTTTTTAAAAAAAAAGGTAAAGAAGGCGCTAAGCATATATATATGCTTCTCGAATAGAATCTAAGTAATACGTATCTTTTTATTATTCTAACTCAAGTAGTAGCAGTTTTAATTCTTTTTCAAAAATATTCTTATTGAAGGTCCTCTTATTTCAACCCAAGTAATAGTAGTTTTAATTCTCTGTCAAAAATTATTATTCCTCGAAAAGAAAATAAATTTTAAGTACTTCAGAAATGTGATATTTAAATATATGTTTAATTGATACTTAAATAATATTTAAATTTATTATGTCGACATAATAAATTTAAATATTATTTAAGTATCAATCAAGTATATATTTAAATATCATTTTTGAAATACTAAAAATATCTGAAAATATCTTTTTGGTAATATTTCAAATGGATTGCAGATTCTTTCTGAACCATTTCATCAATCTTTCAACAAGGTTTCATGTGCAAGAATCGCGGACATTTTGTTATTCCAGAGCTGTCTCAGAAATGTTGCAGACATATTTCGCATTTTTTATGAAATGTTTCACTTTTCATTTGAAATATTTCTGAGATATTTCTGAAAACTTTCGGTGCTGTATGGGTAATTTTTAATGTTAAACTCGCATAAAGATGTAAATAGATTTACATTACAAATTTATCTAATTAATTTGTTCTTTTAAGCTTACCCTAATCTTGCGATATCTAATTGATATTTTTTCGCGGCATACAAGATACATTTCTTGATTTCACCACGTATACTTCGATTCTGTGGCTATCTTTCAAAATTGACTGCCTGTATTGAAAATCTATAGTGCACGTGACGTAAACTGTAGCACTTTCAGCGCTGGCAGTAAATTTGGAACACGCCTTTCATGGTACTTTGACATACAGAATGATGCGCGGTATAACAGCTGTCATAATTGCTCGTTATATGCATCGATAGATGATGGATCGCACTCTGAAAATGTTTGCGTATTCCAAAAATCGTCGAAAAAAAAGTATCGCTACCTTTCTGCCACTGACTGTACATATACGATCAGAATATCGAATATATAATATATAATCGTTTTTCTTCTTAATTTAAAATACGACTCTTATTCTCCATTTAAACTTTATTTATTTATTATTAATTTTTTCATAAAGTTTTCGAATCTTAGGAAATCAAAAAGATCTCTTTCTCTTTATATTTACTATTTTCGCTCACCATTTTTGCGCTTTCGCGCTGATGCATTTCTCCCTTTTCTCTTCTCTTTCCAGAAGAACGCGGAAACCCGGCGGGATAGACCGGATAGACCGCGCACAATGGAGGGTCGCGTATCGTGCGGCTCGTCGGCGATAGCGGCAGCGGCAGCGGTAGCGACAGCGGCGGCGACGGCGGGTATCGAGGTGAAAGGCATCGCCGGTGCATGGAGTACGCAGAAAGGACGGCAGTCGCCGCCATCGTCACCCCTGTCATCGCGCAGGCTGGACTCGGGCTCTGGCGCCGCAGCAGCGTTTTTCAACCCCGTCGTTGCCGCCGCCGCCACCTCACAGAGATGCGCCGCTGTGAAGGGCGCCGTCGCCGTCGATACCGCAGCGCCGAGACCGCAGTGTATTTACAAGGATCGTCCTCTTATCACTGAGACTAGCAAGGAGGATGCCATGGAGCCGGAGACTAAGGAGGAAGATGAACGACGCTCGACAACGCCAAGTCCCGAGGTAGCGTCTTTTATACCTTTTATTTTTAGAGGAGCATTCTTTTATTATGCGTAACAGCGTGTATGTAAAGTATTCTGAGTATATTTATATTCATACGTAAGAGAATGGTTTTTAAATTTGTTCTCTAGTAAAATGGCGCATGAAGGATCCTTTAAAGACGAAGCTCTTTATCGCGCGACTTGACGTACTTGTGGTAAATTCGAATTGTATACCTAGAATAATGTACGTAGTATTATATATCGATATTAATATCACATCGTTAGATTTACAATACACCATTGATACATTCAAGACAAAGTTGTCCTTTCTAAATTAATTAATCTTAAACTATTCCGTTTAGACTCCGTCATGTAATATGACATTTACTTCGAAATTAAATAAAATCTGAATTTCAAAAAATTAAAGAACAATTAGAATTAAGATTTCAAACGTAGAGTGTTTTCAGTCATTTAGAAGCACAGCAAAAGTTAACGATAGCACTAGAAGCATTCAATCTGACAAAGGTTAATCTTTTAGTTTAATTCAGTTTTTTTTGTACATGAATGTCACTATTTCAAATCTAATTTTGATACAGATGTAGAAATTTAGATTACGTTAAATTGCAATGTATTACATCTTGAAGTCGTACTTTTTTTTAATTTCTAATAAAAGCCTCTGCGAAAACTGCTGCTTTACGAATTGCCTTATGCTCGTGGCTCGTGGCGCACGAGTATATACACCTTCACTAACGTATCTTGTATTGATTTTATGGGAAGCCCTCGACTTTCGTCTCTGTCTTGCACTTGTCATCCACCGTCCCCTCCTCTCTCTCTCTCTCTCCCTCCCTCCC